CCCGTTAGAGCAATCTTTCAGAACGCCAGTCTATTGTTCGTGAACTCAGATCCGATCTTCAGCTATGTGAGACCTCTACTTCCGTCTATTATTCCAATTGGTGGCAACGTGGCTAGACTCCCGGTTAAACCTTTAGAACAAGTGAGTCCCCACTGCACGCGAGCATAATCATATGGAGGCTTACAGAACGTCAAGAGGTACCTGGATGAAGCACGTCAAGGTTTTATCTACTTCAGTTTGGGGTCAAACGTTAAAGGTAAGGATATTCCGGCCGACACCATGAACGTCATACTTGCAACCTTCCTGGAAATTCCCTACAAGATACTCTGGAAGTACGAGCTTAGCGATTTACCGAGCAAGCCCGATAATGTAATGATCTCAAAGTGGGTTTCTCAGATGGAAGTTTTGAGTAAGAAGTTCGCGCGGTACTCGCCACATTTTTTAACTGAGTTATCAGGGCATCCCAATTTGAAGCTCTTTATAACGCACGGCGGAGCGCAGTCCATGGAGGAGACGATTTCGGCCAGAGTTCCCGTCGTCGGGATGCCTTTCTTCGCCGACCAACCCTTTAATGTTAAGAAGATGGTCTCTATGGGTTTCGCGTTGTCGGTGGATTACAGGTCGATGTCGAAAGAGCAATTTAGGGCCGCGATTTTGGAAGTAATCAATAACCAAAGGTATGGCCTTGTTGAATTCTCGATAGATTCGACTCGCGTGGTTTTAGGTATCGAAATCGCATCACGGAGTTAGCCGATTTGGTCGAGGATCAGCCGATGACCGGTTTGGAACGGGCCGTGTGGTGGACTGAGTATGTGATTCGTCACAAGGGTGCCACACACTTTAGGAGTCCGGCTCTCGATATGCCTTTGTACCAGTATTACTTCTGGGATGTCATCGCCGTCTTAGTTTTTATTATTACAGTACTTTTGTGTATAATCGTGGTCGTTTCAAAAATTTGTCTGCGATTTTTAAACAAAGCATTTTTCCGAGTTAAAGTGAAGAAGGGTTAGTGGAAGTGGCCTTTCGGATCCTTTGGAACCATTATAGTTTTACTAACACAATGCGGTATATGAAAGTGTTAATAATTTTGTAAGTGAATTCTTCACTGTTTTTGAAATGCATGAATAAATGGCTAACGACCGCTGCGTCTACGAACCCTATGACTTGGAGTGTCGTATATCGCCCTCAATGACCGAAGGGGTGATGTTGTTGTGTCGCAACTCCTTGTTGTACATACATCTGTAACACAGCATTTCTTTCTTTCTCTCTTGTCTTTCTTGTCTGTCTTGTCTCTCTTGTCTCTCCATGTCCCTATTTGCCTGTCTTTGCCTGTCTTTTGTCTATCGTTTTCCTCTCTTTTGCCTTTCTTTTGCCTCTCTTTTGCCTCTCTTTGCCTCTCTTTGTCTCTCTTTGTCTTTCTTGTCTTCCTTTCTTTGGTTCTTTCTTTTTACTCTTGGCAATTTGGAGATCTTGAGCTCGGCCGATCAGTCTCAGCCATCTGCTAGGGCTAAAGGTGACTTGCCCAAGCGCAAATGGTTTTTTCCATGCCAATCAGTGCTGTAGGGGTGGGTGGGGGAGGGAAACTCCGAAGGGTGTATAATATCATTTTCTTTTTCTTTTCCCGCTTTATGAAGATAAGAAGATCAAAAAAGGGAAAGAGACAAAAAAGAAGGGAGATACTGCTATGGACAGCAGACAATACGGAGTTGTGCGTGGAATGAAACTAGAGGAAGAAAAAAAGAAATAGGAGGGTGGATAGTTAGAGGAGGAGTGGAATAACATATAGGAGAGTATTAAAAAAAGCTATAACATGGAAACAAGTAAGAGATGTAGGGCAAAGAGAGAAACAGATACAGAAAAATAATAGAGAACGAAAGAAGTGGAGAAATAGAAGAGAAAGAGTTGAGAGAACAGGAAATGTAAAGAACAAAAGATAGTAATAAGTATAGAATGAATACAAAGAGCAAATCAGGGAAATAAAAACAGAGGTCTTTGAAAGGTTATAAACAGAGGAAAATGAGATTAATTAATTAATTAAAATGATTAAATTGTATCTTATATTTTGACGTATTTCCGGTATTTGTCGATGACGCGAAAGATTGTTTGGAAAAGGACGCCACACTTTTAGGTAGGTCTTGGAAAATTAAACAAATGAAACACGACGCATTATAAAATAATAACAGCCATAATTTGTAAATTATTCTGCTGTGTTTACATTCAGAAAGTGCAGTTTTTTGAATTTGCACACTTTTCTAAAATGCCGATTTCTAACCCAGAAGCATTTAATATGCTGGCGGCGATGGTTCGTGGTCGATTCGGATAACGCAAATAGAAGATGCGGGTCGCATGTTGAAAATACTCAAAATATAGCGCCAGCATATTAAATTATGCTTTTTGGTTAGAAATCGGCATATTAAAAAAGATTACAAATTCAAAAAACTGCACTTTCTGAATGTAAACACAGCAGAATAATTTACAAATTACGGCTGTTATTATTTTATAATGCATCGTATTTCATTTGTTTAATTTTCCAAGGCTTACCTAAAAGTGTGGGGTGATTTTCTTTCGCGCCATCGACAAATAGGTACCGGAAATATGTAAAAAGTAAATTTAAGATACAATTTAAGCATTTTTATTAATTAATTAATTAATCTCATTTTCCCAATATTTGAGGTTAGGAATTTGAAAAACGGTTTTCACTGACCTCTTTGGATGTTATTTGGCTACTTTTTCATAAGGAAAAAGTCATATCATTCCATTTGATTTTTTTGATTTTTTTAAGATTTTGGGTCATAGTGTCAAAACTGTCCCTCTGGCGAGAAAGGATTCGACTAAATTAACTATATTTTGGTTGATTCTCATTGCCCAAGGGATTCTCTTTTCAACCATACACAATTTGTTAAAATCGGTCAAACCGTTAAGAAGTTAAGGAAGGTTATTGCAAAAACAATTGAACGCCGCACGCCATCTTTGTTTTTGAAATAACTGAGTTCTTGTTTTTACGAAAATGATAGATAAACTGCTCCTCTTTAAAAATGTGAAAAAAAAATGCGAAATTTAAAGAAAATGCAATTTTAAAATTTAAGATGGCAGTTACGCCCTCTGTTGGTCATTTTTAGAACTTGAAAATATTTTACAGCGATTCTTCATGATCGATTTACCCAAAAATTTTTTACCCCTAAGTCATACGACGACCGGTTCTCGAGATAGGGCCGAGGAACAGTCTTATTGGGTCACCCGGTACTACAAGGAGAGCAGGAGATGATGTTATGGATGAGGTAGGAAGAAATAAAATTGAAGAAGAGAGATAACAAGAGGAGATGGAACAGCAATTGGGTGATGAGGCTTGGATTTTCACCACATATAGGGTTAATGAATGTATTATAAGGCGAGTATACAAGGTTTGGAAATGAGGGGGTTTCCGTGAAGAATGGAAGGAAGAGGTAAATAAGCTAATATTCAAAAGGGGATGGCTACGACGACGTATAGAATCTATGTAATGATACTGAACGAAAGACTAGAAAGAGAAATGGACGAAAGGAGGTTGGAGGAAACGCAAATGGACTTGAGAAAAGAGGAGGGGGGGGGGGCGATAGACTGCATTACACAGATTGGTAGAAAATGAATTGGGAAAAAAAGGGCGGAAACGTGTTCGCGTTTTTCATGGTCTTAAAGACAGCGTTTGACGGAGTGGAAAGGAAAGAAGTGAAGATGATGGACAAAATCAAAGAACTGTTATAGAGAGACAAGAATGAGGGTAAGAATAGAAGGAAAGGAGAGAAGAAGATGGTAGGGAAAACACAAATGGGATTCAGAGAAGGGAAGGGAACGGTCTACTGTACTCGTATAGCTATTATACTACACAGATTGGTGGAAGAAGAATTAGAAAAAAAAGGCATAAAGGTGATCGCGTTTTTCATGAAAAGACAAGACGTTAAAGGGAAAAATCAAGGAATTATATGGAAAGACTAGATTACGGGTAAGAATAGAAGGGAAGGAGCGTCTTGGACATGTAAAAGACCAAGACAGGGATGCCCATAGTAAGAATAAGGAAGACTTGTCCTCTGGCATATTCTGATGGGGACAGAAGTAGTACAAATGAAGGAAATTGTGGCAAAAATGGAGAAGTACCTATTGGGAGGAAGAACCCCATGAAAAAAAAGGAAGAACCCATGGCTCATCGCCTGTGATCACGGTGGTCAAAAAGTTGGGGTCACCATTTGCTATGTCCAGATCACATTGCGTCTGCTCTATTTTTGTCAGCTTCGGTACGAATTCGGCGGACCCTCCTCATGTCCAAAGCCTCTGTCAAAATTGAATCTCCAATGATTACCCCTATCTCCGATGCAACTGTGATGCGACGATCATAGTCCGCACTTACTCAATTGTCATTAAGTAAGATCATTGGTTTACACGGAAAATTTAAGGTTCAATACTTTTTAAACACAGTGGTATATTAGAGGAGGGAACAACAATGGAGAAGATAAGGATGGCGTCGGAAAAGATGGAGGTATGGTTCGAAGAAAGGAGCGAAAGAGAAGGCGAACTAGTAAAAGACTGCTTGTCAACGAAAATGAACGCAAAAGGAATGTGGGAAGAGCAGAGGAAAAAATACTATGAAAGAAATGGATACGGATGGGCAGAGATCGAAAGGAGGAGAGGCATAGGAAAAAGGATGGAAAGTACAAATATTAAAAAAGGCGAGGTTCAGATGCCGAAATGAGGAGAGAGAGGAGGAACAGTGGGGAGACGAAGAAGAAAGAAAATGTAGAACCTCTGTAGAGGAAGAAAAGGACATAGAGTATGTGCTACGGGAATGCAAGGAGGAGGAAAGGGTGATGTGTTGGAAGAGGGGGGTAGAGAAGTTGGTTGATTGTATACTTATTCGTTGATCGTGTATATTCTGAATTCATAGCAACACGTGAAGAATTGTTGACAAACATTTGCTACAACAATTAAAAAAAGACGCAATACGTGTGGGATTACCACAACCTCATTCATCCTCTCTCTTGTCAACAGAATGGATAATAAATTCTGTTTTGTTGCATGATAAGGTGCACGTGCTATTGTTATAACAGAAACGTCACTTACTACATAGGTGTGAACGGTGAGTGTCAAATTTGTCCTGTCCTTCAATCCTCGAGGAAATTTGTTGTTATTTTTATAACCTTACACGCATGTCTGGGTCTCTTCAGTTCAATGAACGATAAATTAAGCGTTCGGATGACAGGAAATTTGTCGTAAGTAGGTAATTTACGTACTACTCGAAATGGCGTCGACGAACGAAAGTGACTTAAACGTAGGCGCAATCGAGAACTTCATCGAATATTTACAAATTCCTTCGGTTCATCCGGATGTTAATTATGGTAAGTCATTTTTTCGCTTTTACTGTAATCTGAGAGCAGGACCGTATTTCATACCCTTTAATTGAACAGACTTCATGCTAATTCAGAACCGTAAAGAAGATTTCTTTTGGGCTCTCTTGCTCTTGAGCATTGTTTCACTCGCTTACTAGAGAAAGCAAAACATTTTGCAGATGGCTGTCTCCAATTTCTCACGAAACAGGCGCAGAGTCTCGGCCTCCCCATGCAAGTGCACTACTGCTTCCCAAAAAAGCCCATAATAACCATCACCTGGAAGGGTTACGAACCGAACTCACCCTCGATCTTGCTAAGCAGCCACATGGACGTGGTACCAGCCTACGAGGTGCCTTTTTTTGACGACGCACAGAAGTTCACCAATTAATGTTGTAGGAGAAGTGGAAGTATAAACCGTTTTCGGGTCATGTTACCAAAGAGGGAAACATCTACGGTCGCGGTGCGCAGGACATGAAGTGCGTCGGGGTTCAGTACCTGGAGGCTGTGCGCAGATTGAGGCTGAACGAGGTGACTCTTCGACGGACCGTTCATTTACTCTTCACGCCTGGTATCTGCGACGAAATCGCGGTTGATTGTTCTAACTGTCATCGACAGATGAGGAAATTGGGGGCGCCCAAGGCATGCGCGAGTTTGTCAAGACGCCCGAATTTAAAAGGTTAAATGTCGGTTTCGCATTGGACGAAGGAATGGCGTCCCCTTCTGATGAGTTCGTGTTGTTCCACGGGGAGAGGTGCATCTGGTGTAAGCTTTCCGCGCAGTTCCATGTCGCTTCTTGTAAATTTTCACTTTAGATATCATCGTTCATTGTATGGGACAGCCTGGACATGGCTCGCTTCTGCTGAAGAACACTGCCGGACAAAAGCTCCAGTATCTTTTAAACAAAGTGTACGAGTTCCGCGCGCAGCAAGAAAAAAGGCTAGAGAGTGATTCCTCCCTAACAATCGGGGACGTTATGAGTATTAATGTCACTCAAATTCAGGTGAGTGCGGTTAGGTGGACTGTATTAAGTTGAGACACTTTAGGGAGGAGTTCAGCCCAACGTTATACCTCCAGAGTTTACCCTCGTACTTGACTGCCGGATACCGGTGACAACGGACGTGGTTCAATGGGAGGAGACGTTACAGGGCTGGTGTAAGGCGGCGGGGGAAAATGTCTGGATCGAGTATAAGCAAAAGTTGCCCCAAATTCCAGCCACCAAGCTGGACCATTCTAATCCGTTCTGGATAGCGTTTCGGACTGCATCCGAGAAAATGTAAGCCCACGACCCATTCCAACGATATAATCTTTTTAGCGCATTACCACAAAAATAAAAAAAAATGCGCTATTGTGGCCACTTTGTCCGTGCGTCCGTCCTCTCGTTCGTTGAGACGCTACTAGTTCTTTATCTTAAGAGCTATTGTTCTACTTTTTTCGCTATTTGGTTCGTTATGGTGTCGAGGCTTGCACCAAGGAAGGAATTTTTTGTGTACCGCTTACAAAAAAAGTTATTGTAAAAAAACCAACAAACCGTTTTTTACATGTTCCATAATTTTACACTTTTGCCGTTTATTAACGATCCTAGAGATCGTTTATAATTTTGTATTGCTGTCAGTCGTCTGCATGTTGGTCTCTCCGTCTGTTCCTTTGTCTGTCTGTCCCTCTATCTGTCCGTGTGAACGATAACTTTGTTTAGAAATATCCGATCGCTTTGACCTCCGTTAGCTATGAACTGAATTGCATGAAATTCAATATTGGCATAGCTTTAGTCATATAATACGCAATGCCAAAAGTTGAGTCGAATCGATTCAAAATTGACAGTGCCCTTTTCGCTTCTCGACCATTTATAAACCGAATTGCAAACGTTTTTATTTATAAAAGTATTTAAATGAAATTTCATACATAGGCATCTGGAACAAAAGAAAATCTAACGTTAGTTTCAAAATTTAGGTTTGCGCATGCGCAGTTCCAACTTTCTTATTTAGAAAAGCATTGAAATGAAATTCTTCTTATAAACAGAAAATGAAGTAGCACATCAAAAATGGATTGCACATGTGCAACGCTATCTTTCATATTTGTGGCGGGATTTTTACGATTTTAACAGAAACTGCATCTTACAAATGGGAAATGAATGCAAGTGTACCTACATGCGCTTTTTGTAAATCGTTTACGATTACTTTTTTAACTTGTTGCATTGCAGGGGTCTCAAAGTGAAGACGGAAATCTTTACGGGCGGTACAGACAGTCGCTATTTGAGACAGGTTGGAATTCCGGCCTTGGGATTTTCGCCAATGAATAACACTCCAATTTTGCTACACGATCACAATGAGTACCTCAACCAAAATGTTTTCCTTCGCGGTATCGAGATCTACTGTCAGATTATACAGGCCGTTTCGAACGTTCCAGATATTACGGGATGAGCTGTTTAATGTATAAGTAAATGTAATGCTCCCTATAAAGAATTAAAAAACCCATTGTCTCCTTGAAGGCTAAGATTCGTGTATAGGTAAATGATTTACAAATACCACGAAGAAAGTAGGCCTGGCGCTGAACGCTCAATTTAATTTTGACTATCTACGTTAATACTAGATTTTTCCTACAAAATGTATCCACGGCTAGCTCAACAAATTGCCAACAAGTTGCGACTTGGATTGTGTGAGACGTAGCCAGAGCCGGATCTACATATTTTGTGCCTATGCCCCCCCCCCCCCAATCAATTACAATCATTTTGACCCCCAACCAAAATTATCTTTTACTCTTTACACTTTTACAGAAAAGTGTTAATACGATTTTCTTTCTCCTAATTTGCTCAGATTAATTTAATTAATAGTAAAAACATTTTTGATATTAATTATGAATTCAGAAGTGGTTTTCCAAAAGAATAAAAGACTAATTTCAAGCAAGTATTTCGGGTGGAATATAATGGTAGTGAATCACTATTTTAAATAGTTCTACATTTTCGCAAAAATCGCCGTTTTTTATTAGGTTGGATGTATGATTGAAAAAGTGTAGTGTGTGTTTGATCGTTGGTAACCGCCGTTTGCCGCCGTGGGCGTAGAGGGGCGGGTCTACAGGAGAGCTCTAGCTATTGGTGTACAAAAAATGCGAGTCATTTTCGTTGTGAGAAGGGCGAGTCCGAGCTATGCCGAGCGAGCCAAATAGTATGCACTTCGCATTTTGTAACCGGAGTCGTTAATCAACCACGAAATTCGGGTGGTCGGTTGATTTGAAAAGTCAAAGTCTCTTGGTTGCCCAGAGATCGAGATCTCGGCGGAACAGACAAACAGACACACAACGGAAAATCGAGCACATAAGCGTTACCTCAACTTCATTGTGTTACGCTAAAAAATATCTTAAACCTATTTCGGGTGGAGATCGTCGTTTTTTATTACGTTGGATGTATGATTGAAAAAGTGTAGTGTGTGTTTGGCCGTTTGTAAACGTCGTTTGCCACCTTAGACGTAGAGAGGGGAGTCTAAGGGAGGGCCCGAGCTATGCCGAACTCGCCTTCGGCTCGCTCGGCATTGGTGTGCGTAAAAGTGTAAATGCGTGTTTGGCCGTTGGTAAACGTCGTTTCCCACCGTGGACGTAGAGAGGGGAGTTTAAGGGAGAGCCCGAGCTGTGCCGAACTCGCCTTCGGCTCGCTCGGCATTGGTGTACAAAAAAAGTGTAGTGTGTATTTGGCCGTTGGTAAACGTCGTTTGGCACCGTGATTGTAGAGAGGCGAATCTAAGGGAGGATCCGAGCTATGTCGAACACGCCTTCGGCTCGCTCGGCATTGGTGTGCAAAAAAGGGATGTTTTGTTTTAGGTATACTTTATGCATATATGAAGCGCAACTCTACGTATTACCGAAAGAATTGGCGTTAAACCACGACAATATACTTAGGTCGTATGTTGCTATATACTTGGCGGTAAAAAGCATCCTCGAGAATTTTTACCAACCGCCAAGCTCAAGTTAATGCTTTAAAAAGACAATTTCGACAACTACTGGCGTTACATTTTTCATATTTGTATTAATTTTTGTCAAAATAAAGTCCCGGCCTATGACACCCCTTTGTTTATCTTGAAATGGACTCGTCCATCAGTTTGACGTTTAGTTTTTTAAAATGGCGGGCAATTCTTATTTTAAGGAAATTAAGGATAATAAGCCTTTTCGTGGCAACAAAAGCCTTCCAACACATGTGGATGGAAATTTTAGAAAATTTTAAGACCCCCCACGAACGTGTCCGCGCCCTATTTAACTCAAAATCGACAAAAAAAGTCATCTGTGCATGATTTAAGGGTTTTTTTGCAAATTTAAGGGTGAAGGAGAAAATTTTGACAGTATGAATATCAACTCAACTTTTCACAGACTACTTGATTCCGTCGAGAAACTTGAGCAACCTCAAAAAAGGCCGTGACCTTCAGTTGCGTCAGTACCATTACATTTATATTGAATAGCGTATTCTAAGTTTAAATTATTTTACAGTTTAAACAATGAAATCCAATATACAAAGATGTAACCACTGAATCGTGTTTCAGAAAATTCAGAGAATCTAACGGTTACGTGATGTTATCAAGCCCCCCAGGTACGATCATGAAATTGATAAAAATGGGTTAGAGAGCACCTTAATTAAGCGTTTTCAACAACAAAAATTTGCGGGAGAAGCCCCAAATTTTTCACAATATTAATACAAAGTTCACATAATTTCGTCGAAATGTGAGGTTATGTTACTCCATGCTTCATGATTACTTTTAAGTTGGTAAGGGTGTGCGTAACATTCCAACTTCAATTATTTTTCCACGATAGTACTGTACAATTATTACCCAAATTTGTTTTTTTGCGGCTCCTAAAAATTTGCCGCAATGGGCCCGGGCCCACGTGGCCCCATGGTAAATCCGGCCCTGGCACGTAAACTGAAAAACAGAGGAATCTGGGAAAATGTGGAAGAATTTGAAGTAGCTAACGAATTGGAAAAACGGGAATATTCGAAATGGGTGGCGTACGAGTTACGACAATAATTAATACAAAAATCAGCGATCGTGTCCTTCTGGTTCAGGTTTAAATTTATTCATATAAGATTGTTGAGCAATGTACCTAAAGCTAAATTCGCTCAAAGGATTAGAAAATCTCATTGATTAATAGGAAACTTCGTTTCGCGTTTAATGCAAAAACAATTAAGAGTCCTGTTCGGTTGCAAGTTCCAAATTAGTGAAAGAAAAATTGCCATCTACAAGGAGATATGTATAAATTCTCTTGTAGCTTCTTTTCACTTTTTCCAGTTGGAAAATTTGCAAGCCAAAACTGTACCTATGCGGGGGACTCTCAATAAGAGAATGCTCATGCAAATAGTGTTGCAGATTTAACTGAAGTTTACCCAAAGAAGCTTGTGCCATAAAAGTCAGTACCTGCATTATTTTCTTAAATTCGGAAAAAAAACGTCCCCAATTTCTCGTGTATAAATTTAGTCGAGAAAATGATATAAACAGCAAAAACAGTTCTAATGAAGCTCGTTTGTCTAACATCAAACTTACCCATCTGTTTAACATAAACATGAAATTTACCCCCAGAATAAAAATTAGAGACGAACTAAATAATTTTTCAACAATCAACAATCGAATCCGCCATTCACTTTTGACACGAGCATTGACTTGCAAAATCTAGCCCTCTGGTGGCGGTCCTTCGTATCCGGCAATAATTCTTTATTCCTACGCGAACTCGAGGGTTGTAAGGGGTGGAGCGTCGAATCGTCTACACCCCGAACGTTCGCGTGGGTTCTATTGTAAAAAATTAAGAAAAATCCAATGCTTATATGAGATATTCTGTCTTTTTAAAGGTTTTTTTTTGTACGGTTTCTTGCAGGTCGCGTTACAATTTTAACTTGCAGCTTTTGTGAATCTTTGTGAAGTTATAGCGAAATGCGGATTAGTTCCGGCGTCAGATTTAGGTGCATGAAGAGAAATGCTTTCTAGGACGCTGGCAGCAACATATTTTTGCCTACCTACTTTATTCCTTCACTGCTGACTTGACTTGACTGCTTTCTCTTTTTTCCTATACTTAGAGGTACAAGACGCACCTCAGAAAACTCAATTTTCCAATTTTCTAATTTAAAGTATGCCAGAGGGGGCAACGCCAACGTCTCGAAACAAATTAAAGTCTCAAGTCCCAACGTACCCATAAATGTATCCGTTAGTCTTTGGTTAGTTTTCAATACTTTTGCCAAAAGAAGGCGCTGGTTTCTCATTTTAAGAAAATGTGAGTTCAATCAATGTTCCGGATGTAGGTATATTTCAATTGTTAGTTAAGATTTACTTTACCATTAAACGGTAAACTAGTTTATGAGTTAGTTTCACGCTATAGTAGGATTTTCCTTAGTTTGCGCATCGGTGTATTATGACGTCATCGCTAAGTATGTTTACATAGCATCATGCAATCAATGGAAGAGAATATGTTCGTAGGTAGTCACACGGACAGTGCTGCATTGTGGGTAGGATACCCATTACATCAACGACATCTATTGACCAAATGCCTATGTCGCGATCTTTTACTAACAAGAGAAACCAATTTCGAAAAAAAATTCAAAGGGCTGTAACTTTTGAACTAGTAGCCCAATCTTGGAACTGTTTGAAATAATGGATTCTACAGGCCACATTCTATAAGAAAATTTCTTTTCCGGGTCGATCTGAGACAATTTTTTTTTCGGGGCTCAAAAAAAGGCAGTGTATAACCTTCCTTTTTTACCAAAAATCGACTACACCAAAATTTCTCGGGAAAACACTTTTTCTTATTAATTTGAGTGCGTAGAATCCAAATCAATTCGTACTTTTTCGATCAGACTTCTCAATCAAAAGTTATAGACTAGAAACCAATTTCGGAAAAAAATTCAAAGGGCTGTAACTTTTGAACTAGTAGCCCAATCTTGGAACTGTTTGAAATTATGGATTCTACAGGTCACATTCTATAAGAAAATTTTTTTCCGGGTCGATCTGAGACAATTTTTTTTTCGGGGCTCAAAAAAAGGCAGTGTATAAACCTTCCTTTTTTACCAAAAATCGACTGCACCAAAATTTCTCGGAAAAACACTTTTTCTTATTAATTTTGGTGCGTAGAATCCAAAACAATTCGTACTTTTTCGATCAGACCTCTCAATCAAAAGTTATAGACTAGAAAACAATTTCGAAAGAAAATTCAAAGGGCTGTAACTTTTGAAATAGTAGCCCAATCTTGGAACTGTTTGAAATTATGGATTCTACAGGCCACATTCTATAAGAAAATTTTTTTCCGGGTCGATCTGAGGCAATTTTTTTTTCGGGGCTCAAGAAAAGGCAGTGTATAACCTTCCTTTTTTACCAAAAATCGACTGCACCAAAATTTCTCGGGAAAACACTTTTTCTTATTAATTTTGGTTCGTAGAATCCAAAACAATTCGTACTTTTTCGATCAGACTTCTCAATCAAAAGTTATAGACTAGAAACCAATTTCGAAAAAAAATTCAAAGGGCTGTAACTTTTAAACTAGTAGCCCAATCTTGGAACTGTTTGAAATTATGGATTCTACAGGCCACATTCTATAAGAAATTTTTTTTTCCGGGTCGATCTGAGACAATTTTTTTTCGGGCCTCAAAAAAAGGCAGTGTATAATCTTCCTTTTTTACCAAAAATCGACTGCACCAAAATTTCTCGGGAAAACACTTTTTCTTATTAATTTTGGTGCGTAGAATCCAAAACAATCCGTACTTTTTCGATCGGACTTCTCAATCAAAAGTTATGGACTAGAAACCAATTTCGAAAGAAAATTCAAAGGGCTGTAACTTTTGAACTAGTAGCCCAATCTTGGAACTGTTTTAAATTATGGATTCTACAGGCCACATTCTATAAGAAAATTTTTTTTCCGGGTCGATCTGAGACAATTTTTTTTTCGGGGCTCAAAAAAAAGGCAGTGTATAACCTTCCTTTTTTACCAAAAATCGACTACACCAAAATTTCTCGGGAAAACACTTTTTCTTATTAATTTGGGCGCGTAGAATCCAAATGAATTCGTACTTTTTCGATCAGACTTCTCAATCAAAAGTTATAGACTAGAAACCAATTTCGAAAGAAAATTTAAAGGGCTGTAACTTTTGAACTAGTAGCCCAATCTTGGAACTGTTTGAAATTATGGATTCTACAGGCCACATTCTATAAGAAAATTTTTTTTCCGGGTCGATCTGAGACAATTTCTTTTTCGGGGCTCAAAAAAAGGCAGTGTATAACCTTCCTTTTTTACCAAAAATCGACTACACCAAAATTTCTCGGGAAAACACTTTTTCTTATTAATTTGGGCGCGTAGAATCCAAATCAATTCGTACTTTTTCGATCAGACTTCTCAATCAAAAGTTATAGACTAGAAACCAATTTCGAAAAAAAATTCAAAGGGCTGTAACTTTTGAACTAGTAGCCCAATCTTGGAACTGTTTGAAATTATGGATTCTACAGGTCACATTCTATAAGAAAATTTCCTTTACATAGTTTTAAATACAGAAACGGTGCAGTTCTCAAAATAGAGAACTGTGCTAAAAGTTCCAAAACCAATTCAGAGAGCCAAACAGGAAACTATAGATTGAAAAATGTAGTCAATTACTTGATTAGAGTTGTTTTTCAGTTTAAAAAAATGTACATACGATTTCCTGTTAAATAATCTAATCCCTTTCGGATTTATGGCCCCCTAAATCATATTTGGCACGATATTACCAAAAAATAATCCATTAAGGTTTGCTTTTTTTCCCTGACTAATTTATCGTCCAGGAGGTTATAATTTAGATGGCCTGTTTGAGAGGCGAATCCCGCGTCAGCTGATTAGTAGACCTTTGTAAAAGAATCGCAAGATGCGTTTAAGTAATGTAAAACAGGAATAGGTTTGTTATCTTTATTACATGCATCTCCGCTAATTTATAACGTAGATAAATAATGGCGCAGTCAGTAAATAAAAATAGATCGTTCTTAGGGAAAACTTGCAAGACCTTTAGTTATTCCACGCGGATGCAACAATGTTATCACAAACAAAATTAAACATTTATTTGCTTTTTTAAAACTCCGGATAACGTCATAGAAATTACTTTGATTTATAATGGCCATTGTTCGCTCTGCTTCGCTCTAGATTCAGTAAAAGAGAGCAGCATGGGAAATCTTCAATTTATTAAGCATAATACAAATCGGTCTATTTTCGTATTCCAAAAGCATCTGCGAAATATTTCGGGTAATGTTAATACGATATAGCAAAACGTGACAAATTACAGTCGCCTTTGATTAGTAACGAAAAAGCTAAATTTAAAGTGCCGTAATGGATTATATTTAAGTAATTTCCGTCAACTCATTTACTTGCAATTGAAAATCTCGAGAAAACGTCTTCATTTCATTATGCAAACTTTTAATTGTACAATTTAAATTCACTTCATAAATAATAATACCTCCTGAAACGTACAGATTACGACGTACCTTTTCCTGTTCGAGAAAGTAACCGTCACCGTTTTTTTTTTTGCGTTTTTAATAAAGAAAGACAATGGAGCGATTATTTGTTTTAATTATTCGCGTAATCGGGTTAAATACTCTTACTATATAAATAAGACAATGGTTATTACGTCGTTATTGTTATATCAAATTAGGCAGGTGTGTTGAATACGATTTACATATTATGTTTTGACTTGAAGTAAATTATGTAAAACGGAATTTGATACTCAGTGCGAAGCTCCTTTTTTATTCCGTGAAATCAATAGTTCAGAATTTTCTCTTAAAAGACAGCGCAGGCGAAGGAAAACGAAGGATACCATCAATTCTTAGATAGTTCAGTAGCTAGAATTTTCCGAATGGTAGGCGTAAAACTGAGTTATCTTTAGTTATGTTTTTTTTACCCCCTAGCTTTCCTCTTTCGTGTTTTGGGTAGAGGAACCACAATGTTTTACGGTAAAACATTGTGGTTCCTCTACCCAAAACACGAAAGAGGTAAGCTACGGGGTGAAAAGAAAAACATAACTGAAGATAACAGCGAAATTGCAATGGTACCATACAAAATGAATTACAAATCGAAACAATAAAGGTAAGAAAGCGCAAAGAGATGGCCAAGAGTACTTTCAACTACAATGCAACAGTTCTGTGATCAACAAATTTAGGTTTATATAAACGACTAAACCAACAAACAATGAATATATACTCAAATTGCGCCAGCTATGCAAATAGACGAAACTCATAAAAAATAATCGCATAAGTACGTTTATTACATTAATAACAAACATACTCATAAATGGAAATTCAAAGAAAGCATTAGCGGCAACTCCTAAATAAAAATTTCAACTTCGTCCTTTTTATTTGAAGAACTATTTTTTGTATTTTATTTAAGCGCTAATTACAGATAGTAAAAAATAATTTAAAAAGCTTAAATTAAATCCCTGTTCTAGAAATTGTACGTTACTAAAAAGTAACCCTTTTATTTATATCATATTCAACATTGGTAATTAACCATGAAAATATAGCTATAGTAGTATTAAATGGCACTAATGTAAATTAATTACATTTGGCATTAATCACATTCATGTCGCGATTTTTTATCCTCGTTATGAATTAATTTTCACCTCGAAAGCTTTGGGCATTTGGGTATATTTTGAGTATCCCCGAGCAAAA